ACAGAGTAGAGTAGAGTAGAGTAGAGTAGAGTAGAGTAGAGTAGAGTAGAGTAGAGTAGAGTAGAGTAGAGTAGAGTAGAGTAGAGTAGGTTAAGGTAGCGTAGCATAGCATAGCATAGCATACCGTAGCACTGGAAGGGATCTTGGAGGTCTTCTAGTCCAGCCCCCTGAGTAGGAGGAGCTATACCAATTCAGATAAGTGACTGTATCTTCTTTAAAAAAAAACCAGTGATGGAGCATCCATGATTTCTGAAGGCAAGTTATTCCACTGGTTAATTGTCCTCACTGTTAGGAAGTTTCTCCTTAATTCCAGGTTGCTTTCTCTCTTTGATTAATTTCCAACCATTGTTCCTTGTCCAGCCCTCTGCCCTCTGCTTTGGAGAATAATTTGACATCCTCTTCTTTGTGGCATTCAAATATTGGAATGCTGCTGTTATGTCACCCCTAATTCTTCTTTTCTTTAGACTAGCCAAACCCAATGTCTTTCGTATTATAGTAGTGATAGGGATGAAATCTCACAAGTAGCGCATAGGATTCCTTACCAAAGAACCCAAGTGGAATTCTTAGAATTTCTAATTAGAAGAAGCACTTATATTTGAAACTATGGTTGGTCACAGAAGGACAGCTAATATGATACAGCATTAAAGAGCTCGATTTTCCCCCTCTAATTTCTTTTCTGTATCAAATTCTGCCGGGAGAGATGAAATGACATGACTGAAAGCATCGCTTTTTCCAAAAGTACCTGCATGTAGAAAATTAACTGCTCTAAATGAAGTCTAGATTAGAACATTCGTCCCTGAGGTGTTTTCTGTGGGTAAGAATTGGAGCCTTTAAAAAAGAAAAATCTAAAGAGATCAAAATTGCACGTTTCCTCATCTGCATTCTGGGATGGCAAAGGGCTGTGTGAATTGAACATGCTTTCTTTCTGAGCATTCGGGCATGGTTCTAGTCCTGTCTTTGGTATGAGAGCTGAGTAGATGACTTTATTATTTCACTAGGAGAGTGTGAGTTCTGATCCTGCCTTAGGCATGAAAGCTTTCAGCCTAACTCACCTCACAGGGTTGTTGTGGGGAAAATAGGAGGAATATCAGATGTATTTGCCACTTTGAGTTATTTATGAAAATAATAAAGTCAGGGAAGGAAGGAAGGAAGAAAGGAAGGAGGGAGGAGAAAGAAAGGAAGGGAAAGGAAGGGAGGGAGGGTGGAAGGAAGGGAAGAAAGGAAGGAGGGGAAAAGAATGAATGGATGAAGGGATGAAGGAAGGAAGGAGGGAGGGAGGGAGGGAGGAAAAAAGGAAGGAAGGAGGGGGAAGGAAGGATGGGAAAGGAAGAAAGGAAGTAGGGAAAAGGAAGGAAGGAGGGGGAAGGAAGGAGGGGGAAGGAAGGAGGGGGAAGGGAGGAAGGGAAGGGAAGAAGGAAAGGAAGGGAGGAAGGAAAGGAAGAAAGGAAGTAGGGAAAAGGAAGGAAGGAGGGGGAAGGAAGGAGGGGGAAGGAAGGAGGGGGAAGGGAGGAAGGGAAAGGAAGGAAGGAAGGAAGGAAGGAAGGAAGGAAGGAAGGAAGGAAAGAAAAGGAAAGTAGGGAAGATGGAAGGAAGGAAAGAAGGAAGGAAGGAAAGAAGGAAGGAAGGAAAGAAGGAAGGAAGGAATTTCTTATGCATATTGCATAGGTGAATGGTTTTCTAAGTGTGGATGTTCTTCCTTTCAACAATGGTTCATCCTTTGAGTTGCATCCATACCGGAATGTATCCATATTCAAAGTATGATGTCTCCTTAACACATTTATTCCACCAGGTCAACAACCAGCGCTTCCGGCTGCCCGTCACCCTGATCAAAGATAAATTGTGGCTCTTCCAAAGCGGGACCTTTGCCACCATTGAGACGGACTTTGCGCTGAGGGTCTCCTACGACTGGAACAGCAACTTTGCAGTGAACATCTCCAGCAGTTTCTTTGAGAACGTCTGTGGTCTGTGCGGGGACTATAATGGAAAACCTGAGGATGACTTCAGGACCTCCACTGGATCCTTGGCTCCGGGCCCTGTGGCATTTGGACAGAGTTGGAAAGTGGAGGATGGAGACCCCTTGTGCTGGAGTGACTGCCATGGAGAATGCAAGAAGGCCCCTGAAAAAAACCTCATTCCGTACAGAGGTGAAACCTTTTGTGGCTGGATCAGTAAAAAAGGGGGCCCATTCAGCAGGTGCCATTCTTTGGTTGAGCCCGACATCTTTGTGGAAAATTGTGCCTACGACCTCTTTGTCTATGAAGGTCATAGAGAGGCGTTGTGCCAAGCGCTGAAGAGCTATGTGGATGCCTGCCAGCAAGAAGGTGGAGTTGTGTTAGACTGGAGGAGCCTCGTTGGATGCCGTGAGTAGAAATTCCTTGCTTATGGTAGCTTTCCTCTAGATCTGGGTTGGGCAACTAGGGGAACTTGACAACCTGTGGACTTCAACTCCCAGAGCATGGCTGGCTCAGGAATACTGGGAGCTGAAGTTCACCGCTCATAAAGTAGCCATATTGCTGAATCTCCCTCTAGATCAGGGGGTGTCAAACTCGATTTCATCGAGGGATGCATCAGGGTTGTATTTCACCTCAGGGGGTGGGGTGTGTGTGGCCAGAGGGGGCATGGCTAGCTTGACATCACTCATGTCAGGGGCACCTGTGGTGGTCGAGTGCTCTGCCAGTGAAAATGAGCCCCATTTTCGGCTGTGACGGCCTCCTGCAACCCTCTGCCAGCGAAAACGGAGGTCGAGTGCACTGCACATTGCTCTTCCAAGCTCTGTTTTTTTCTGGCAGAGGCACCACGGGCTGGTCCTTCACTGTTTCTAGGGTGGCCCCATGGACCTGATCTAAGGACCATGTAGGCCGAATCCGGCCCATGGGCCTTGAGTTTGACACCCCTGCTCTAAATCATGGATTGATGCAGGCATGAAATGCTCTAATCTTCGCTACGGGTTCAGAATCGGGAGCACTCACGTGCGGCACTTTTGTGCATGTGTAAAGCCTTCTGCACATGTGCAGAGCATCTGTGATGATGTCTGGGCATGTGGGTGGAGCCTCCCAGCGCCGCCGCTACCGGTTCACTCAAACTAGGGTGAACCGGCAGAATACCACCTCTGGATTGATGGGGATTGTAGTTGTAGTATAAGGCCTGGGGGGGAGTCAAGAAAAGAATCAGCCTAGAATCATGACGTTCCCACAAGCGGTGCATGTCCAAACCCTCATAAATCCCACTAACTCTTATTTAGCACCAATTTAGCACTGACCCGTTAGTTGACTAGATTCCTGAGTATAGATACGAGCAATAAATCAGCTTAACTGGAATTTGTCACTTGGTCCTGATTCTTTATGCCATGTCTACAATAACCTGACAGGAGCCCTGGTTGAGAAAAACAGACCTGAAACTTTGTCTTACGCTGAGATAAATATAATAATAAAATATATTCACAGTGACTTAACACGCCCAGCCTTTCTCGCTCTTGTGGGACGGCTTACTGCAGGCCAACTTCAATTAATTTCTCCCTATACTAGCTCATCCATTTCCATATCTTTTTGAAAAGGCTACCCAAATTCACCGGAGGCAAATTTATCAGTAGGTATGAGAAATGAGGAATAATGGAACATTCATGGTCAATGACTCCCATCCCTTTGAGGTTTAGGGGGAGGGAGAAAGAGAGAGATTGCCCTTTTGCCTGATTTTTATCTTTTGAACTCAGCACCCATCCATCACTGCCACGCTGAGAACACCAGCAGTTATCTAGTGTAGCATGTGAATTCTTTAATGTCTGCCACACTTCTTTTTAAACTTACCCTTTGGTTTTGCAGTAAAGCTCATGGGAAACGAGAGTCAGGGAAATTATTACCCTGCTAAGAAGATTTGATCTGGGGAATGGGCAGACTCCCCATAAGTTAGTTTATGAAAGCACACAAGGGGCACTCTTAAAATTCGAGGTCTGCTTACAGCTCAGAAAAGTTATGTCCTAGAGTTTTGATCCCCAACCTTTCCAGCTTTGTGGACCAGAGAGAGAAGCAACGGTTATGAGTGTGAGTAGTGTGTGTGCATGTGCTCATCCGGTGCTCGCACAAGCGCATGTTCACCGCCACTTCCGTCGCCCGGGTCCAAACGAGCCACTGCTTGGCATTGGAACATAGTCTTGGAGTTGGGGACTCCTCTCCTAGAGAATCTAGTTCAGTGTTTCTCAACCCTGGCAACTTGAAGATGTCTGGACTTCAACTCCCAGAATTCCCCAGCCAGCATTCGCTGGCTGGGGAATTCTGGGAGTTGAAGTCCAGTCATCTTCAAGTTGCCAAGGTTGAGAAACACTGAACTAGATTCTCTAGGAGAGGAGTCCCCAACTCCAAGACTATGTTCCAATGCCAAGCAGTGGCTCGGTTGGGTCCGGGGGACGGAAGTGGCGGTGAACATGCGCTTGTGCGAGCACCGGATGAGCACATGCACACACACTACTCACACTCATAACCGTTGCTTCTCTCTCTGGTCCACAAAGCTGGAAAGGTTGGGGATCAAAACTCTAGGACATAACTTTTCTGAG